GGGTCCTGACCCAAAAAGGAGTTGTGTATATGTGGGGTCATAAGGTTATTATATAGGGGAGAGGGCTGCAGTACTGCTACCTTCTGCACTGCTAACGGAGGTGGCATTGCTTTCAGAACTGGGCAGCTGGAGAGCAGTGGCTGCTTCCTGGGAGTCTAGCTCTGAAGGTAGAGCTACTGCCAGCAGCAGGACAGAAGTACAGATGGTTTTTCATGTAGAAGCTTGTTTTTTTTATGAGACTCTCTAGTGTTGAGAGCTCCTCATTGATTTTCTTCTGATTGTTGTATAGGCTGCTGATTAGGTGTTTTCTCAGAAATACAGATAGGATGGGATGGTGTTGCAACTCTTATGTCTGTGCTGCTGCCTACAAAGTTGGGCCCTTAGTAAACTCTCTAGCTGCCCAGTTCCGAAGGCAGCACAGAAGTAAGGGTGGTAATATCATGCCTCCTCCCAACTCCCTTTTGGGCAGGACCCCCCAATTTGAGAAATACTGGTCTTCCCCAGAAAATCTGTATAAGGTAAAAGCTCACAAAAGACCAGCTTTCATTGGGGGAAGACAAGATTTCACAGTCTGCGATGCATTTTTCATGGCTGTAAATTTGGTAGGACCTAATCAATAAAAATCTTCAGCATAGATCTACCAACATAGATGCAACATGTTGCTCACAACCTACAGACATCTAATATCTACAGACTTAAGGCAACTCAAACAAATGACCATTAGCAGGTAAAACCTAAAAAGCAACAAATAGTCCAGCAGCACCTTAAAGACTAATAAAAACTGTAGATGGTATCATGAGGTTTTGTGGACACAACACACTTGGTAGAACATATCTTCAAATTCAACTCCCTCAATTTTATAATATATAACTACCACCATAGGGCTAACATTAGACTGACATTAGAACCCTGTATACAGATATGACATAAAATATTGCACTGTTTTCTGTCAAATAATACAGTGTAACTTTACAACTATGTTTTTTTATTAGCTTTGCTCAATTACACAATGGTTATGAAAAGTGGTCAAAAGAAGAATGCCAAAAAGTTTCAAGATGCATGAAACAAAACAGGTAGGCAGGAAAACAAGATTTTTGGCTAAAAAATAACTACTCGACTGTATAAAAACATAAAAGCCCCCAGGATGCTATTTAATTAAGGCATAATAACACACAAGTAGTTTTTAGTATTTAGATTAATATCTGGTTTTAGATGGTAATGTTTTACTGTAGAGGTAATGGGCATCCACAAAGGAAAATGAAGTGCAGTATTTAATTAGTGGACAGGTAAAGAACAAGGCTTTTCATATAGATCTTCCCAATAGTGAGCAATTTCCAAAGATAACAAATCTAAAACCTCAGCTATATATAACCCTCCCACTCCCCACAAAAAAAAAAAAACCCAACAACAGAAAAACCCACCTTAGGCCATGTCTATACTAAATGGAGGATCAACACTGCAGAGGTTAATCTTCCAGCCTTTGATATAGTGGGTCTGGTGAGGATCCTCTAAATCGAATGCTAAGGGCACCTCCATCAACTCTAGTACTTCTTGCAGTCGTGAAGAGTAAGAGAAGTTGATAGGGGAGTTTTTCCTGTTGATTTCCCGCTGTGGGGATGCCTGAGGAATTCAGCTTAAGATAAGTCAACTTCAGCTAAGTTATTTACGTAGCTGGAGTTGGATATCTTAAGACAAACTTTTGGTTTAGTATGGACGTGACCTTAGTTCTTAGATCATGAAAATGAAAGAATAATATAAATCAGAGCCTGTTACTACAGTTACTGATCCTTTAACTAGAGGATTTCCTATAAAACTTTCATTGATTTTCACCATATTTAACTCCACTTGGCGGATTTAGCTATTGCAAGTGAGTTGGCACCCATTCATTTCACTTCCCTCAGAGTTAATGTAGAAGGATGGGTGTTTTCTAAAATTCACTGTTACATTAGTTCAGTTTAAACAAAGGTTTTCAGCAAGTATGTTAAACTAAGCAATGATATTCTGAACACAACTTCACCAGCAACTATATATATATAGTTCATTGTTCATTCCGTATAAAAATTAATTTCCAAAAGTGAAGTAGGAAAAGCCCCACTTCTGCCTACCAACACCTGTTCACAGCAACTACTGGCCAATTTTTTATTTCTAATAAAATTCAACACTCCACAATATCAGACCCATAAAGTCAAGAAAAATGTCGTTAGCAGGCATATCCCACCATGCCCTTTTGGGGTATGGTCTGTCCTCTCAATTCTTACCTCCCTTTCCGGCACCTACAGGCATGGCATGTCCTTTAGTCAAAGCAAGTTATTGGCCTTGAAACAGCGGTAATTGGTTGAAATACAAGAGTCCATGACAGACTGCAGATGAGACTAAATGACCTAATGTTTCTTTTTGGCCTTAGATTCTATGGCTATCTGAAATACTAAATTTATTCTGTATTTAATTATAAGAAGAAGAAGAAACTTCCCAGGATGGGAACAGATTGATTGAGATAGGTAGAATAAACTGACACTTCTTTCTAGTGACACAGCTGCATATGTGTTATGTAAAACAGATTATATATATATATATATATATATGATACATTTATTCTTCAGAGTCAAATTACATTTCCTTAGTGTGGCTTTTGAAGAAAACTAACAGAGTACTATTTAAATAAAAAACTGTAGCAAGAATGTATTGGTTTCAGGTGGCTGAACGTCTTAATTTAATTCTTAATCTCTAGAACTGGTAAAATAATATTCAATACATTTCCCCTCTTTGTCACTTCATCAATCATGAAATAAATTATTAACAAAAAAGTTTTTCATTATTTGACCAGTTTTGCCAATGTTGAAATAATATTAATAAATTAAAATAACTAACATTTGCCTGCCAATCATATATTAATATATTTGCAATTCGACCTCACTACTCCATTAAATAATCAGCACTATTTAGCACAAAATAGATCAATTATGAGTTGTTTCTATTTTTCTGCGTTATTACATGTTCGATAAACTGGAAGAGAAACATTAGGCATTTCATGTGCTGACATTTGTAACCAGTAAATCCAGAATGTTGTGCTAAATCATCAATCAAACAGAGTCCTCAACAATTAAACATCTTTTCCCATCTTGCCATCCTGAAAACTTCCTGATCACATTGAAAGAGGCCAATTAAAGCAATAGAGACAACACAATGTCCTCTCCATAACTTAATCCCTCTTTCGCTGAATGGGATATAGATTGGCGCCTGGTTGTTAATGTGGTTAACTGGGACCTGAGTGAATCGAATGCTATCTCTATACAGTGAGCTAGAGGTGTGTTTTCCCTGATTGTGAATGTGTAACTGCGCCAGCTCTCATCGAATATCAATAGCAGCACAGCTACCACAAAATCATGGCTCAGACAGATTTCAGGTGGGTTCATATTCACCCTGGCTTACCCATGCTTCCGCTGCCAGTGCTACTGGACCTATGCTGTTATTTGTACTTGAAGGGAGCTAAACAATATGTGCACACTAGCCGGTGAATCATAATGCTAACTCACAGTACAGACATAGCAGAAGTCTCATTGAGTGAATCTCATGCTGGGTTTTTGAGTTCTGAGATGCAGCCCCTCCCTGAGATACTATGACTATTAGCTATTTGGTTAACCATATCCTCACATACTCTCGGCTGCCAAATCCGCATGCAATTTTTACTTAGATAATCTATACTGCCACTGCACAGTCTCTCTCTTTTTGAGTGGTATTTGGGATATAAACTTTAAAAAATTCTGGGGGAGGATTAGATGCACTCCACCTGCTAAAATCATACAAAAATGGATTCACCAATATGTATCTCCACAGACTTGTTTGAGCAAATAATGGATGACTTTGAAACTACAGGTTGAACCTCTTTAGTCTGGAATCCTCAGGACCTGACCAGTGCTGGACCACAGGAGGTCAATATTGTCTCACAACATTACAACATTTCCACTGCTTACTGGGCTCTTAGATGACATTTGGGGTAAATTAGAGCTAAATAGCAACACTGAGAGCCAAGACAGATGCCTCTAAACAAACTTTATGGGACCACAGGAAACTTGGCCACAGCCATGACAACTGGCCATACTAAAGCCAGCTAACTAAAATCATGCCGGACTATAGTATTGCCAGACAAGAGAGTGCTGGACTAGAGAGGTCCAACCTGTACCAACGTTTCAGTTGGCATTGGAAAAGGTTCAGAAAAGGGCAACAACCTTTTCTAATGCCAATATATCTTTTTTGAGATGAGGCAACCCCATCTGTACACAGTATTCAAGATGTGGGCACGCCATGGGTTTATATAGAGGCAATCAGATATTCTCTGTCTTATTCTCTACTACTTTTTAAAAATTATTCTCAACAGTCTAGTTGCTTTTTTAACTGCTGCTGCACACTGAGTGGATGTTTTCAGAGAACTATCCACAATGACGCCTAGATTTCTCTCTTGAGTAGTTATATCTAAATTAATCCCCATCACATTGTATGTATAGTTAGGATTATTTTTTCCAATGTGCATTACTTTACATCTATCAACATTAAATTTCATTTGCCATTTTGTTGGAGGAAAGACTTGTAATGTGCCTAAAACTAAACAGAAAAATAAAAGTAATGGCAAAACTGGAGTCTTTTACTAATTTCCTTTCACCTATGCACCTCCTTAGGAAACCTGGATAGTTTTCTTGAGAAAGCAGCTGTTAGAAATCTCTCAATTCTGCCACGAGTCAAGGAAATTTTTAGACAAAATGAATAATGGAGAAGAAAGAATTTCACTCTAAAGTGTATTCTAACAGTGAGTCAGGACAGAAAACCAGAGAGAGAGAGAGAGAGAGAGCAGTCTCCTCCTTAAGAGACTGATGTTGAACACAAAGAAGCTGTCGTGTGTGCTGGCTCAGAGCTCAGATGACATATCTGCAGAACAGATGAAGACTGGTGTTTCTACTAGCCATTGAACACCTTGGCAATACTTATCCTGAGAAAGTGATACTTACTCTTGTACAGCTCTGGCTATGGAAAGAGCCGTGGATCCAGTTTCATTAACACTATCTAAGGTCACATTTGGCAGGTCATCATCATCACTGTCACTTTTAATTTGTCTGGGAGAGATGCCTCGGGGATCCATTTGTGCTGGAAAAGATAAATATAATGGAGTAAAGTTAGGGTGATGAAACAAACAACATCAGGGTATACAGCTCTTCCATATTGTTATACCATATACAACATTTCTCCAATAGCTTCACAGGTAAGATGATGAATGTAAGAAATCATGTAGTGTATGTGTAACCACCATCTGGCAGATTTGAACCTGGGACCTCTGAAGCTGAGTAGAGGAGCCTCTACCCGCTGAGCTAAAAGCTAGCTGGCTCCCAGCCCATGCTGTAGAGGTCTCTTGAGCTTAACTCTTGCTGTTCTCTAGGTGCTACTGCATTGGACAGTAAACCACACTAGGTGTGTGGGTTACATATGTACAGCTTCTGTTAGCTACAGATAGACACAAACATTATTGTACATGCACAAAATGTGTATATATATATATATATATATATATATATATGGATACTACCTGCCCACAACCATTGACATGAAATAAAACCGCACACATACTAATCTTAAAACATGCATTTTACCTTTAAGTCACCTATTTTTGTTGTTGTCTTTTGGGAATGTTTTCTGATTTTCTTTGTATGATTTTACACATTTCTGGATGGAGATTTAGGGCAAACATTTAGTGGTCGCTTTTGCCTACCTTGAGACATCTAAAACATGAGATTTTTTCAGACAAGCAGAGCAATTGCAGCTCTCCCTCAATATCCCACTGTGCTCTTCCAAGTGCTCCTTGGAGAGGAAGGACAGACCAGTGGGTTAGGTATTATCGTGGGTATGTACAGAGGCCCAAGTCCAACTCCCTGGTCCAGCGCAGATATCACATGTGGCCCTGTGTTTCAGTTTCTCAACTTTAAAATAGAGACAAAGTACTTTCCTACTTCCCAGTGGTACTGTGATACATTAAAGTTTGTTAGGCACACAGATACTTATGTGAAAGGGACATCTAAAATAAGACAGCCGAGTCAGCAGCAACTTAAAAATGTTGGTTTTAAAGTATATTTTATCAATACACTGTGCATGGTTGTTGGATGTAGGCATAATGGTCTGTAGCTATTTTTCAATTGTCATTTTTTATTAAAAATCATAATAAAAATGATATTTTTAAAAAATCAGTAGGCTAACATAGTAAGTCAGATATTTACATATCAAGAAATACAGTAGTGGGTCCACTATCAGGGTATGTCTACACTACCCTCCTAATTCGAACTAGCGGGGTAGTGTATACATACCCTCAGAAATCAACTAATTATTTTACAATATTACTTTTTCTGAGACATATAGCACAATTTAGCACCCCTAATTTTCCTTGATTGGCTTGTCATTGTGTGTATAGGTTGTTGCATACAGTAGAGAAAATATATGTCACTTGTCCCAAGAGGGATTGTTGACACTGACAGGGATAAAGTCTATACCATATAACTGCATTGAGCTATATATTTACTATATTTTAATTTTTGAAAAGACATTGGTAACATGGTTCATTCTTTGACAACTACAAGCGCTACAGTCAAGTCATACATTGCATACTGCAATATGTGACTTGTATTTAAACATCAGAGATTAGATGGCAACTTGATTTAAAAGTGGTTGATTGCTCATCACATCTTATTTTACCAGAGAGAAAACAAATCAGAAATGTTATGTTTGAGAAATCCTAATTGCCAAATGGCTATGGGCTATTAGAAGCAGTTGTAATATGTGAAATAATTACCATCAATGTTAACTATTTTTGCTGATTTTAAAAAGAGAAACTTGTTGCTTGTCACGCTAGTTGTATAATTATATGAAACCGGCAGGCACATGTTCCTAAATGTATGAATGCAAATATGTGACGTTAATGACGTTTAAGTGAAAAAGAACAAAACATAGTGTACTTGATACTTTCTGCTAACAGAAGCTTAGTTTTGCTCTCCTTTAACATGCAGGCCAATTTAGAAGCCTCCTGGGTGTTTACACTAAAATGTAGATTTGTGAAGATGTTTAACAATTAGTTTATAATGCGGCTGCCGTTATCTATTAATTTGTGCATTTAACTTTGCTTATTCTTAAATAAAATAAAGCTGAAAATTGCCTGAGGTGTGTTTATTCATTACACAACATGTAGGGCCGAATTAAGGTTATGAGGGGCCTAAGGCTAATGGGAGGGAAGGACCTAAGAAGGAATGGCATATTGCTAAAAATTATGAAGTCATCAAACATTTATCTATACACACATTTATCTATACACTTATTCATATATATACATATTCAAGTAAAATTACCACATTTATTCTACTCTCACCACACTCATACCATTTTTTTCCCACTTTAGCTGTGGCAAAGTCATACGTGATGTCGTCATAGTTCAAAGACCTGACAATTTCATTCTCAATGCTCAAGAGGGACAAAGCACTGAGATGGTCATAAGTTGTGGTGGATCAGAGGACATTTTTGATGCTTGTTAGAAGAAAAAAGGAATGTTCTCCACTAGAGTTAGTGATTATTAGTGACCGATATAGCTGTAATGCAGTTTCAACATTTGGGAAACATTTTGTCACATTATTAGCCTAATAGTTAATCCGGCCCTGACAACATGCCATCTAGCTTTTTATTACATTGTATTTGTTAAGTATCAGAGGGGTAGCCGTGTTAGTCTGAATCTGCAAAAGCGACGAGGAGTCCTGTGGCACCTTATAGACTAACTGAAGTGTAGGAGCATAAGCTTTCGTGGGCAAAGACCCACTTCGTCAGATGCATCTGACGAAGTGGGTCTTTGCCCACGAAAGCTTATGCTCCTACACTTCAGTTAGTCTATAAGGTGCCACAGGACTCCTCATCGCTATTGTATTTGTTGTGTGTTTCAATATTTGTTTTTTGTTCTTAAAGCACCAGGTTCTTGAGGCCTGTGATGAGGTGAAAATCTCATTTAATTTAAAACAGTAAATATGTAGCCCTAATGGCTACAGAAAAACACTTGAAACTGTGACCCAAGTATCCCTAAAAGCTCAAACACTAGATGGCAAACAAAATGTATATTATCTTTCAAAATCTCATTATTATAAAGCCAATTTCATGATTTTGAGACAATGAATTATGATTATTTTAATTCTGGGATTGACAATACTGATTATCATGAATACGCAATAGGACAAATGCTGCTCCATGTTATGTTGATGCAGCCCTGCTGAAGTTAAAGAAATTGCATTGTGGCCCACTGGACAATTTGCAAGGCTATAATCATGACAACACCTTGGCTACGTCTACACTGGCACCCTTTTCCGGAAATGTTTAAAATGGAACAGTTTTCCATTATAAGTATTTCCGGAAAAAGCGCGTCTACATTGGCAGGATGCTTTTCCGGAAAAGCACTTTGTCCGGAAAAGTGTCCGTGCCAATGTAGACGCGCTTTTCCGCAAAAAAGCCCCGATTGTCATTTTCGTGATCGGGGCTTTTTTGCGGAAAACACTACTGTGCTGTCTACACTGGCCCTTTTCCGGAACAGTTTTCTGGAAAAGGACTTTTGCCCGAATGGGAGCAGCATAGTTTTTCCGGAAAAACACTGACAATTTTACAGTAGATCGTCAGTGCTTTTCCGGAAATTGAAGGGGCCAGTTTAGACAGCTGGCAAGTTATTCCGTAAAAGCGGCTGATTTTCTGGAATAAGTGGCCAGTGTAGACACAGCCCCCGTGTCTTGTGTTGCATGTTCTCTGCAAAGTGTAGGATCTTCAACATTTTCAAAACAGTGAAATTAAAAATGTTGTGTCGGGGAAATTCAGAACTGTGAGCACAGAGGAGAGGTTTTTCAATGTAATTTATGGTGATAGTTAATGGGATTGATGCCAAATTTTAATCAAATACACATTTTAGCATTAAGGAATACACTTTTATTCCCCCTCATTTTCTGTCACCCCAAATATCCATCATCTGAGCATTCTCCTTAGTTCCCTCTCTCCGTATGTGGCCTCTGCTCCTTCCCGTAACCACATATATGCAGTTCTCCTATATGTCTTCTTAGAGCTCTCACTCTTTTTTTGCTCTCCCCTATTTCCAAACAGACGTGCAGCCACTAGGGTGGCTTTTGTAAGTCTCAGGAGAAGAGGTTGGCTCCCTGCCTTGAAAACCTGGCACACAATAGCCTAATGTGTCGAAGAACTCAGTGAGGCTCTCAGCAGGATGGATACTATCCTTCTCCTTCAGGTTCTCTTATACACATTGCTGACAATTGGTTGAGAGTATAGTAAGGCCCTCTGCAGCAGACTGAGCTCCTCCTTCTCCATCCCAAAAAAGTCTCATTGTTTCTCTTGGCAGCTGCAACTGCTGTGTGGGGAAATGCAGCATCTAAGCTATTCTCCTGCCTATAACAACCTTCCAGGTAACTCATCACTGACGTCCACGTAGCGAGATCTCCTGCTTACAGGCTGTGGAGCTTGGGGCTGTGGGCAGGAAGTAGATATGCAAGAACACCTGAAAAGCAGCTCCACAGCCTGTGCATTTGGAACCTGATAAAATAATGCAACTTTTGGCTCAATTCACTGCTGGGGTAGAGTCAACTGAGGATTCTGACCTTTTTCTTTATAGTTTTTTCCTTATAAACAGCATCCAAAATTATTTTACAGAGTTAAGAATACAGCCCAAAAGGTTCAAATTCAGAGGGCCTAGAGTTAGATTCTGAAATCTGTATTTTGGAAAAAGCAGCCTTCTTTTCAGTTGAGGACCACTCACATCTCCCACTGAAGTCGGTAGCTCTGAAAAGAAAGCCACTTTTATTTAAATGTCTAAATATCACTTTAAGAGATTTTTGCTGCCAGGGTTGTGTATGCTGACTTCAGGTATTAAATAATAATTTAGAGTTATTATTGGACTAACAAAGGACAGCTTGTGAGAGACAACTAAAAGATTTAGAAAAGGGATAAATGCTATGCAGCAAATGGAATATGCAAAAGAATGAAAAGCCAGTTATGCGATGAAACTGGCAGACAATGTACCCACGCAGTGCATCTTAACCTTATCTTGTGTTGCAACTTGCTTTCCAGTCTTACTC